CCCCCCCCCATTCCCCTTTGAAGGGGGACCGAATCGATATAATCTGGCTAAAATTTGAAGCTTTGCTCTGTTAATTCCTTCATTATCTTGTTCTGTGTTTTGTGTTAGCCTATTGAAAGCCAAGGCTACTGAGAGTCTACTGTTCAAAACTTTATCTTTGTGCGAGCATTGCCGGGGTTCTTTCGAAGCTCTTGGGAACTTTGACGCATCGAGGTTTCTGGGTTCTTGTGGATCTTTTGTTCTTTATTGTTGTTCGTTAACTGGTAAGCCACTTGACTTTTGCAATTTCATCCCTATGCATCTTTGATTTACATGTGTTCTCACCTTTGAAATCCATGGCTTAATATGTTTTCTGGATTACTTTTGTGTACGATTCTGTTAATTCTACTTTGTTATAAGTTTCTTTAGCATTTAACTTCCTCCTAATGTTGTTAGTTCTGAGATTTCCTAAGTCTAACTTGGATAATCTGACCCTCTTAAGTTCGTTTAGCTAGTGTATTGGTGCCTGAATGTTCCCTAAAACATACTTATTTGCTTTGTCCTTAATCTCTATAATGAGTGTTTCACACTTGTGCTAGAACTTCCTGTGTTAATTATGACATGTTCCCCTGCTATTGTGTCACTCAGCATGATCCCCATACCCCATTAGTGATTGACTGAGATCTTAACAGTTACCTCAACTTGTTTTCCCTGCCTTGTTTGAACTATTTTGTTTTATGGCATAACTTAGATCTTCTTTAGTTAATTATTCTATTGTGTCAATCCCAGAATCCCTACATGTGCTATTTGGTATGAACTTGCTATCTCACACTGCTCTAAATCTCTGCAATATTTGTCTTGCATGTACAATGTGTTTCAATTTATATTAAGACCATTCTCTATGATCTTGCTTATGTGCTAATATGTTCCCCGGCATGTCTATGGTTCATCTGATATCCTGTTCTTTTAGTGATTATTTGGCTTGTCAGAATGTGCACCCCCCATCATGTCTAAATACTGATTAGCATGACACTAGGATGTATGTTTAGCATAATCTCTTAGGTTTTAACTTGTTTGTATTGTGCATCTGTGACTGCAAACTTGTTTCTCCCCTGACCCTTCCCACATATGGTTTTGTCATAATGTGTGCTCCCTATTATGTCTCAACGCAGTCCTGTTTCCTGATAAGAGTTAATATGTCTATCTTATGATTCTAGGATACATACTTAGCTTAATTTGGACCTTTTAGGTCTCAACTGGTTTAGTATAATGCATCTGTACATGATAGTCTCTGTATACCCATGCAAACCTATTTCTTCCCCAACTCTTTCAAAATGTGGTTGTCTATGTGATACTTTGCTATGTATGGAAATCTTGCTGAACCTACTGGCCTTCTTGATTAGTTGCTCTGTATGCTCAACTTGTCTATGTCTACTTTAGGTTATAAATGTACCCCCAGTTCTGTCCCTCAGCCATTGTCCATTCTCCTCATTTGCTACTTATGCTATTTTGAACTTCTTATTCTTAGCCGGCTGAAAGCCAAGGCTATCTAGGCTTTACTGCTGACCTCCTAGTGTGAGCACTACTCGGGGTCCATTTGAGGCCCTTGTGAACTCTGACACACTAGGATTTGGGTCTTTAGTCATTCGCTGAAACTTATACTACCCCCATTCAACCCCTTTCTTCCTATTATTTGTTGTACATCTAAGTCGGTTAGTTTAAATGATGCAATGCTTGGCAATATGGTTATATGAATTGA